TCGTCTGAAGCCAAAGTATTTTTCTAATAAAAAATGAATTTTTACAAGAATTTTTTTTCAATTTTAAATACAAAATAGAGTCACGTACTCAGATTTAAAAGTTGTTAAATCTTTTAAAATTAAGTTCCAATCTGTAGAGTTTGGGGAATGCTGTTATTAAGTAGATCTTTACAGATCTTAAATTTGGAAGTTTATTACAATCTGTAATTACTAAACCTTTTACAGTTGTGCATAATAATGTTTTTTTTTTTCCAAATATATGGCTGGTCCTACATAACATGAATCATTAATGTCACATGTTTTAAGAGTAGTTTCCCCTGACGGCAATAAAATTTTTGTTTTCACTGCAAACGTTAATTGACATACAATCATTAATTATTTTTTTAGTTTCAATTCTAGGGACAAAAACAAAAAATATAAATTATTAAATAAAATAAGGAAAAAAAAAAAATTCATAAAAATGAGAGCGGTACCTATCTTGTTTATGAAATTTTATGGTATTTTAATTATCAATTTTTATTTTATCTTAGTTGTGAATTTTTTTCATAACTGAGATATAAAAAAATTAATAATGAAAATTAAAAATACCATAAATTTCATAAGAGATATACGTAAAAATTTGGTACCTCTCATGAAATTTTAAATTTATTTTATTGTTTGTATTTAAAATTTTATTTTTTCAGAAATCATCTTCAAATGTAAGGCTATAAAAAGCTAAAGTACCAAAGAAAAAAATTAAAATATTAGATTGCTTAAGGAGGTATTTGTTAACGTGTAGTCAAATTAGTTCACTTAAAATTCGAAAAAAAATTCTGTTTTTCCATGATAACTTACTCTGACCTAAGTTGTCAATACATCGCTGTAGTGTAACTTATCAAAAACAAGTCACCGCATTTAAGACTTACTTTTAATGACATTCCGCTGAGGCAAGAAAAAATAAGATTTTTTAATCAATTTCGAATGTTCTAAAAAGGATGAAAAAATTTAACAAAATAATAATCATAAAGTTTGGCCTTTCCTCTTAAACATTTACGATAACAAAAAAAAAAAAAAAAAAAAAAATCAAGTCTGGGGCCTTTTATCATCATGGTATGCTCTTTTTCGGCGAATTAGTAGACCTACTGGAGAGTCACATACTCAGGTTTAATTGAAGAAATGAACAAATGACATATAAGTGAATAATAGTGGTGAGTACTAAAACTGATACAAAATATTCCCTATATGAGAAGTTGAAAGATAACAACACTATACTTCTGTAGATTTAAGAGAGATTTTGGTTTGAAATTCCAAGAAAGTTACCAAGTACAAAGACAGATGGGACAACAGCTGAAATGTTGGGAATAAAATGAGTATATGTGGATGGATGTGAACAGCAAAGTGTATATTAAGGTTTAGGTGTCAATTAAATTAAACAAGTTTCCTATGTGCTTGAAATGCATACGATTTAAAATACTCACTCACTGTATAAATATACTTTTTCTAAAATTATATTAATTAACACGCGCCTCTATCTTGTTTTCTGTTTTGGATTGGGTTTCCGGTTCTTCCTACCTAAAATTTACTTCAATTCTATATTTCTAACGTCTCCACTTAAACTCAAAGTTTTTTTTTTTTTTTTTTTTCCTTAGAAGGTATAGGTTGTCCAATTCACACTTCTCGGAGCAGAGAGGTTTTTAGGATTTGAATTTAAAGTCTTTTTTTCCTTCTTTCCCTTCCGTCTTAGTGTCGTTCTTGCTTGAGAGAACTGATTAAAAAAAAATGCTGTTGCAAGACTTATTTTTAAAAATATTGCTACCAACCATTATCTCCTACTTAATTAACGTACAAGTATTTCTTGGTAAGAAGAGTAAGACCGTAAGAAGGTGGAGAAAAAATCCAAACCAACAGAAAAAAATGAAACTGTAAATTAAATAAATCTGTAAAATCGCCGATCATTTATGTCTTAAAAAAAAAAAAAAAAAAAAAAAAAAAAAAAGTGTTAGTGAATTTGTTTACTGAAAATAGAAATAAAATAACAGGGGATACTGAAACTTTCTTCAGAATAATAGAAAGTAGGCACATTACGAGATGTCAACAACTATTTGTCTTTTCTTAGTCAAATATTCCTGTTTTTGCATTTCTTGCACCTATCAATGATTTCAACAGATCTAAAAACAGACAGAATCAGTCTTTCTTTATTGATCATTACAAAGTACAAACTCATGTGCTGGCACATTTTCTAGAAATCTTTTTTTTTAAATGTCTCATCAAATTCAATTCATTTTTTACACTACAACATTTTTGACACTAGTCAGTACACAAGAAAATAAAACTACGAACTTAACTGAACAGTTCTTATTTTTTAACCTAATGTTGCAACTGAAATTACATCGTAGAGCGATCAGAGAAAAAAAAATGGACAATTTAGTTTTAATTTTCTTTACACAACAATGGTAAAAAATAAAATAACGTTGTTTTAAGGCTTCCTTAAAGTAGTAATTTTTATATTCTGGCTGGTTTATTCAATTGCTATGTGCATGTTAACTTCTGACGAACATAATACCAAGTTTAGTTTGTATTATTCATTGATTCAATAACTATCTGAAGAGAAAACTAGTTAAGAAAAAGTTAAATTTCCGTTGAATTTACAGAAAAAGACAAAAAAGCAATAACATTTGAAATGAAAGAAAGAAGAATTGTTAAATAAAATCCCCCCAAAAAAAAAACAATGATCATGAAAAATATGACATGAAAAAAAAAAAAAAAACTTGTTTGCGTCGGTTGTTTTACTCTTCTTGTGAATCTTGCTTGACGGGTCAAATACTAATTGTCATTTGAGCTTTGTGATCATTAGAAAAAAAATAGCTACAGCAGTTAAATCTTTATTCCACAAAAAATATTACACTAACTGACAGAGTGATAAAAATGTATTCACCACAGAAAATAATTGATGTAAAAATCCAGTGTACTGAGGAGTTTTAAAAAATGAACACTGAAACTATCTTTTTGGTAAATTTCTCGCTCGGGAAACAAAATAGAAATCACCCTTTTTTTTCCTAATCTAGTTTCTCTTTTACGACGAGCAGTTAAGCGATCTTCCTCTTACAGTCACACCTACTACTAAAGCCGCAATAGTGAAGAGACTGAAGTACAGACTCACATAAATACCCACGTACATAAGGTTTTAGAGAGAGAGAGTCGATTCTCCATCTGGACACACTGATTATTGTTGAACAAAATAATTAGCTGTTTGTGCTACTATGTCAGTCAAACTTAGTCTCATTAAAAAATAAAGATACGGTATTTAAATACCGCGATATGCGATGGTGACTAATCGATTCTTGTTTTGTTTTTCGTTAAAAAAAAAAAAATAACTATCAAGAGGAAAGATAAGTTATATGTCCAATAATGCAAAATAACACTGCGGCAATTTACCACAGAGGGTAAAGTAAACGTGTGCTGTTGATATTTGGATTAATAACTTGTTGAATTTTTAGAGTACGAAAAATTCAAAAAATCCTTTGTTCTTCCACATTCCATTTCAGTTTCACGAATACCACACTAGCAATTACTCAGTTGTTGTTTCCCTCGATAGAAAAATGTCTTCAGTCACACTATTCATTTTATCAAAGAACATTAATCAAACTAAGGTACTGCAAACACACAGTACAGAATCCAATAAGACCACCCCCCAAGTTCAGTTTAGAGGAACAATTATTGAAAAGATGACGTCAATAAATTTACAATTGAATTATCCTTCCTTTACGTTCACTCACGACAAAAATAATTATTAATTAGTGTGTCACCCTTTAGGAGAATTTAAGTCTAATTATGTTTGATTTACAATGCAAAAAAAAAAAAAAAAAATAATAATAATAATATTGAGTAATACTTTTAGCTTCAACGTAAAAAAGGTACAGTATTGTTGATATTTTTTATTTTTAAAGTGTTGATAACGATGCAACCGAGATTTTTTTTTATTTGAAAATAATTAATACGACAAAACACACAAAATGAAGCCACCATTTACTTGACCTGAAATTTTATTTTCGTTATTTTTTTATTTATTCGCAATCCTGTGAAATTACAAAAGATAAAAAAAATGAAAATTATTAGTAGAGAGAAAATTACAAGACGCTAACGAACCACAAAAGATCGGTGAATAAAGAAAATGAAAATAGTATTTGTTTTGTTTTTTTTTTTGTCCAAGAAAAAAAGTAGCTTTAAAAAAAAAAAAAAAAAAAAAAACACTGCCAGAGAATTTTTTCTTAAATAATTGTCTGATTCTTTCAAATTGGCAATGAATTTTAACACTTTTCAATTTTTAAATTGAATTTTGTAAATGATTTTTTTTACCCAAAATTTAGTCACTTTGAAAATTTTCCAAAAACACTTTTTTTTTTAATCCGGTAACAAACCAAGGAAATGAAAAGAAAAGTAAGTTAAAAACTGAAATAAACACTTAAAACTCCAAACTGTTAAAAAATGTTTCTGTTTAGTTTAACGAATCAATAGAGAAACAAAACAAAAATCTCTAAGGAACTGCTTGAAGTAACACTGAATCTCAAATTATAATGAATTGTTCCGAAAACAAAATTTTACGTGTTCTTGACTCAGCTGTCTCAAAGTCCTTCAAAACAAGTCGACGTTTTAGGATAAAAATTTCCATTGTAAAAATTTTTTGTAGGCTTAGAAAATAATAATAATAAAAAAAGATCAAAATATTTTTCACGGGAGATACAGTTCCATCCAATAGTTTATTTTTTATTTGTTTATGTTCACTTGTTAGTATAGGACTAAAGGTAAGTTACTATTAAAAAGATTTTAACGCCTTAATTTTTAAACAAATTATAATTTGTTTAATTACCTCATACGTCGAGGTTTTACTAAAGAAATTGGAAAAGTTTAAACATTTCTTTCTGCATGTCTCAAAATGATTCAAACGATGAATTCTCTGTTGAATTTTCCGAAATGTAAATAAATAACATTTTTAAATACGATAGTGCATATTCAACACTTACCAAGTGCTTTGTCGAATTGTGAACTACGTCCAAACATATTTCGTATTTGTAATATTTTAGTCCAGAGGAAATAATTAATGTTATCTAGCTAGGTTATTCTTGCAAAAAATTCTGAAAGCTATCTAAACTCAGGGTTGTCTGTTTGCAGCGAGCAGCAAATATGGCGTATATAAGCTTTCTTACGTCATAATAAATCCACCCTTATACCACCGACATTTACGATATGAATTCATAAAATGATCTAAACAAATTAAAAATAACTGAAAGAATAAAAGAAATTTTTAACTATAATAACAAGTAAAGATATTTTAAGTTTTTAATTTGTCGATGTTTTATGCGGCATAGGCGAGCAGACGGAAGTGTAAATGGAAACGAATGAACTTGCATAAACATGTAACAACAATAAATATAAGTAAACTGTTGATGACATTGCCTATTTATTCGATCCTGAATGATTTTTAGAATAACCGAGATTATAATATCAACATGTGTCTTCTCATTGGACCACCTGGAGTGGGTAAAACTTTACTGATGAAAAGAATGCAAAGTATCCTCTTCTTGTGCTTCTGCTCTCTATGTTCGAACAGTATTTTTTCAGAATTTTGATTCTTTTAATTGTATCACAATCTTCCCTCTCAAAATAACATTTCTTTTCTGATTTTACATGTGTTGAACTATTTAAATTGTAACAATTTTCTGTAATAATAGATATTTTCAGAAAATCACTATTCAATTTTGTTTTATGTGCGATTTTACTTTAAAACAACGAATAGGTAACTTTTAATTTCTCAAGTAAACTCTTGTTAATGAGTGAATATTGATTGATTTTCAAATCTCTAGTATTAGTTATTTGCTGAGAAGACAATGTATATTATGAAAATCAGAATGCTTTTTCTTTTAAAAGTTTTTTTATTTTTACTTTTGTCAAAATAACTCTTTCATTAACTTGTAAGTTGTAACTCTTTATTTGAGAAATAGTATTTCTGAAATAAAAAGCTTAAAATTATTAACTAACTTCAAAACTGACAAAAACATAAATTTTCATTACTAGTCTAGAGAACATTTTTAGACACCATAATTTGTTTTTTAAGGAAAAAAATTAAATGCATTTGTTGATTAAAATTTATCAATTTTTATCAGTTAACAGAACTAACTTAATTTTTATAATGTGTGCAAAATGTTAGTTACTTCTTAATTAAAACCTCCCCAGTTAAAAAAGTATCTAAAGCTTAGCTTACAGCCAATATTATTTCCGTAATTTAAGAATTTTGGATGTGGAATATTCAGCAGTAAAGTTACAACATTTCCGAGTAATCAAAATATACTTTCATGTGTCACTTGTCACAGTTTTAGCATTTATAAAGTACAAATTAGCAAAGCAAAAGCATACCATATTAAGAACTTACCATTACTGAACAAAACTGGTTCTTAAATAACTAACCAACGATTTTACAAAAACTGTGTGCATATTTTCTTTTTGATGACAGTTGAGCTTTGGAAGAAAACTTTTATTCCTAGGATCATATGATTTGCTTCCTTTAGGAAACTGTTAATGTTCAAATATTTGCTTTCATTTGACATTTTTATATTTTGTTTCAGAATGTTTGAAGTCATACTCTTAAGCTACCTTGAGATTTTTATCTTTATTTGTTCACTCAATACAGGGCCCAAGAGCCACTCATGGTAAAAGGCTACTAAATGTCATTGTTGTAAGAGAGCGAACAAGGGGGTGCATATTATGAGTATATGTAGGATACAAAACAGTTGACCCTAGACTTGATGAGGATAAGATTGTAGTGATTGGGGAATGGACTTGCCCTATTTTGCATAGAGTTGAGTGACTACTAATAAGTCAGTTGTCACTCAGTATGGGAGTAGAACTTCTACAACACAGAGTAGAAGACATCACAACAATATGGAGTTGCTGATAGTATCTCTAACACTGTTGGATAAGTTGGCTCGATGGAAATATGGATTCATTGTTTTGCTGCCCATGTATGGGCCAAAAAGTTAAGATCACAAGGTTGCAGGAGTAGAGAATCTTTTTTGCTTTGGCAGGATCTCAGAGAATTGAAGGATTTGACTTTTTCACATATTTTGAACATTATAAAGAGAAATTTGCATCTGAAAAAGAATTGCTGAGAGAACAAAGTTTCTCATGAGCAAACATGAGCTGAATGAAATAATAATACAGTATGTACACAAACTACAAGAGGCTTCCAGATTCTGTGAGTTTGAAAAGTTCGGCACTGGAGAAATGGCCATCAAAGATGAGTTGATACAGTTGAGATTAATTGAAGGTATGTGTGATGCTTTGTACAAACACAAAATTTTAGAATGGTTATAACTAAAATGTCTTTGGATGCATCTATAGAGCTTCTGCAAGAATTAGAGTTAATTGAAAAATTTAATGCATCCAAGAGTAATGTTGAAGCATACAGCATATTATCTTGTGCGATGCAAATACTTTGATAAAAAACATGAATGGAACAAGAAAAAAGTTCAGCTTTAAGACAAGTATGCTGGAATTGTGAAAAGAAAAACCATTTCCAGTCTGTGTGCAAGTATAAAAGGAAAATAGAAAGAGTAAAAAAATTACCCCCAGACTCGGGGAAAATACAGCTGTATTTGTGATACAAAGGTATAAATAGAAAATTGTCAGAGAAAAAATTGAATTGAATGGTATAATTTTTCCTATACAAGTAGATACTGGGAGTGTTGTCACCCTAATCCCAATAAATTTCTGAGAACAAATGGGCAAACCCAAATTAAAGAAAAGTTGGCTTAAACTAAGACAGTTTGATGGTGCTTTCATCAAAATGTTAGGTTGTTTTGAAGGAAATTTTGAGAGTGACACATGCTTCCAAATTATTCCCATTACGGTAGTGAAATGTGTAAAACATCATTGACTTATGGGAATAGATGTTTTGAAGGTGGATGCAACCAAATTAATTAACAGTGTGAAGTTGGAACGTAATGACACAGGGATGTTAAAAGAATACAAAGCAAGCGTTCAATTAAAAGCGAATAATCACCCCTCTTACTTTGAGTCTTGCAGACTGACCATTCACATATTACCTTTAGTAGTTGCTAAACTAAAAACAATGGTTAAGCAAGGAATTTTGGAACATGTTCTCCTGGTGGTAGTAATTGGGCCTTACCCACTATTGTTTTACGAAAACTGGATGGATATTTAAAGATATGTGAGGATTACAAAATAGGAGTAAACCACAAAATATGTTCAAATTCATTCCCTATTTCTAACATTGAAAATGCTATTCATGAATTATTGGGAATTAAATTCTTTACTAAAATTAACCTCAGATCTGTCTATGACCAGATACCAATTGATGAAAAATTTAAAGAGGTCATTATGATTAACTCTCCAATAGGCTTACTCAGATACATATGTCTTCTGGTGTAAAAACAGAAAATGATATTTTTCAAAGAACCATTGAAAATGTACTAACTGGTGATGTTAAGAATATGATCATCTATCAAATTGATATATGTATTGGTGCTACCAGTAGAGAAAAGTTAAAACAAAAAAAAACAGATTATATTTTAAACAAATTAAAAATGCTGAGATGACTATAAAAAGGATAAATGTGTATTAAATTGTGACACAATAACATATCTGGGATACCAGAACTCTAGAGGTGGAATTTTTCCAGGCACAAATTTGATAGCAGCTACAAATAACAAAGAATTGGAATCTTTTTTTAGAATTAACTTATTTTTATAGCAGATATTTGCCAAATATAGTGAATTGATAGAACCCTTCGCGGAGTTACAAAAAAAAAACAAGGAATTTAAATGGACTCAGTGGCAGAATACAGTATTTGAAAATTTAAAGAAAGAACAAAAAAAAAGCCCATTGTAAAAATTTTTGACCATAAAAAGGAAATGACTATGGACACAGTTGAGCATGCTGTATCAGCAATTTTGTCTCAAGAAGTTCCTCCTATAATGTACCTTTTTAGAAGGCTAAATACTCAAATATTGAAAAAAGGCTAAATACTCAAATATTGAAAAACCTAAGAAGGAGTTACCTAAAGTTATATCTAGAATTTTAAGATGGGCCATAAAGTTCATGGCCTTTGATTTTGACATCAAATATGTGAAAGGAAACACTATTCTACATGTAGATGCTCTGTCAAAACTAAAATTCAACAATGAACTATTAGAAAGATCATACAATTCAGAAGATAAAATATAGCACTGGATTGAAACAGATATATTACCCTTAGATCATCTTTCAATTGAAACATAACAGGATCCAGTATTAAGCAAGATTGTATAAAAGAAACAAATGGAGTGATTGTTCTGGAGTAGCAAGACTCTATAAAGAGATAAGGCACACAGAGAAGGGTCTTATATGCAATGGAGATGTTTTAATACCACCAGAGAAAAGACATAATAAAAAGTGTACATGGTGATGTTCATTGTGGAATAATAGCAACACAGGCGATTAAAATTGGAAGTGTGGTGGCCTGGGTATTTCTGTAGAAAAATATGTACAAAAATGCCCAAAATGTAAGGAAATAAATAACTTTCACCAAACCAAAATACATTCATGGCCTAAAGAAAAAGAATCATGGGCCTGCATGCATAAAGCTCATGTTAAAGGCATAGAACTATTTTTAATTTTGATTGACTCATTCTCTGGATGACCTGAAATGATTAGAGTTCAGGATAGGAAGGCATTCAGGGTAAAGCAAATATTATGAGTAATATTTTCCTGAAACGGGGTGCCAAAAATGTTAGTCTGTAACAATGCACCAGAATGTTGTGATAAAGCTTCCTGTTTGTGGTTAAAACAAATTGGATGCCACTCTTATAAAACATCACAATACCATCTGCAATTGAATGGAATTGCAGAAAAAATGGCATGGATGGTGAAAATGGGATTGAAGGCATTTTCCCCATCCAGAGACACCATAGATAGTTCCTTACCTAGACTATTACTGAAATATAGAACTATTCCAAATGCAATTCCAGAATGCAAAGTCCCTCTGCATTGATGAAAGACAAATT